GGGGCCCCGAGGCGCCCGCCTTCCTGCAGGGGCTGCTCACCCATGACGTCACGCGGCTGGCGCGGGCTGAGGGGGCGGTGCCGCGCGCCCTCTACGCGCACGCGCTGAACGTGCAGGGCCGCTGCCTCTATGACCTCATCCTCTACAGGTGAGACCACTGCTGGGTGGGGGGAGAAACCACTGTGCGGGCCAGGCAGCGCTTGGGATAAACCAATGGAAGGGAGGGTGCTCCTGGGATGGACCATTGCAGAGGAGAAGGCAGGGGTGGGGCTGTGACGTGGATCCCTTTGGCGCCCAGCTCTGTGCCATGGAGGAGCATTGGGGGATGCCCGGGCTGACCTCTGGTGCAACCCCTGCTTGTGCAAATCACCATGCTGAGTGAAGACGAGGAAGTCATTGCCCCCGGGACCTCCTCGGGCTGGAACGGGTGTCGTCTAGTCCAGAGAGGAAAGGCCGCACCTGACCGCGCATTGTCTGCACGGAAGCAGGGCAGCGGGCGCCCTGGCTGCCCTGCTTTTCCTGTGCCGGGCTGGGCGTTAGGCGTTAGGCGTTCATCTTGCATGGAGTTCGGGCACGGCCTCTGAATTGGAGCTTCCTAGATCTTAAATACTGGAGGCTGCATGGGAGAGGAACCGTGCTCAGACCCAGTCTGCTTTCCTTTTCAGCATCTGCTCTTTGCCACCGTGTGACACAGGCCCACGTGACGCACGCCTTAGGCCCACAGAGCAACGGTGAATCCCCCTGTTAACAGAGGGAGCTATTACATTTGTCAACTGATTACATGGGGCAAGAACAAAGTGGGGACAGGAGCAATGGCGTGACACAAGCCTGTTTGACGCACGTCGGGAAATGGGCCTTATGCCCTCAGAGCACCAGTGAGTTGATAAAAGGGGGCTGGCTAGTGGGTATGCATCAACTAAATTTGTGGGACAAAGTATAAACCAGGAACAGGAGCAAAGGTAAAAGGTTCAGTATGAGTGCATCATGCAGGGCGCTGAGCAGAGCAGACAGACTGAGTCCAGGGAGGCAGGGGACACTGCCCAGTCATACTCATGGTCATACAGCTTGTCACGAGACTTGCGTGCGCACACACAATTGGCAGGCACACCTACAGTGCGTCGCCTTTAAGCTCGCACGTGCATCTTTGCAGGATGATACCAGCCGGTCATATTTTAAAACAAGCCGTGATTGAGCTTTTCATTGTGCCAGAAGAAGTGGACGGGTAGTCTTCCCACTTTGGAACAAACTTGTATTGTTTTGTTTATAGTGTTTCCTTCTGTTTTCAGAGGTATATCAGGGGAGGCTTCCAGAAGTGCACTGATACATCGGTCCATATCGTATGGGCACCGATAAAAGGAAAATTGACATTATTGGCAGTCAGCTTCTTCCGGCTGATGTGGCCGATTAATGTCGCCCATAAATGCCACATGCATGCACGTAGCTGCAGCGTGCATGCGGCCAGGTATGCAGCCTGGTAGCTTGGAGAGCTGCGTCTGGCCAGTAAGTCTGTGCGGGGCAAGAGGCGTGGGGAAGGGAAGGGAGCCAGTAAGTCTGGGGGGGGGGGTGCAGAGTGCGGCCCCCATGGCGAGGGAGGGAGTGGGGCTGGGCAGGCGCCGCTTGGCTGAGGTGGGATGCAGGGCAGAGCTGCGGGTGGCTAATCTAGAGGCCATGGGGAGGTGGGGGTGGCTGCTGCTGCTGCAGTAAGTCTGTGCGGGGCAAGAGGCGTGGGGAAGGGAAGGGAGCCAGTAAGTCTGGGGGGGGGGGTGCAGAGTGCGGCCCCCATGGCGAGGGAGGGAGTGGGGCTGGGCAGGCGCCGCTTGGCTGAGGTGGGATGCAGGGCAGAGCTGCGGGTGGCTAATCTAGAGGCCATGGGGAGGTGGGGGTGGCTGCTGCTGCTGCACCCCCCCCTGGGGGAGGCATGGGGGTCATGTGTCCTTCAGATTTGTGCGTGGGGCGAGGGCAGGCTGGGGGCCAGGCGGGGGCTGTGCCGGGTTCTTCCCAGCAGCGGTCTGGGCTGGAGCTGTGCTCGGGCTGGGAGGGGGTGGGCGTGGGGTGTGCAGCGGCATTGCTGGGAGCGGGAGCTAAGCCCCTTCCCTCCCCCACACCTCTTCCCCCCGCCCCTCCAACAGACTTAACAGCCAGACACTGCTGTCCAAGCTGCCAGGCTGCATATTGGCAGTAGGATCAGTATCGGCTGATATGGCTGGTCGATAATCGGCCATCAGTAGCGGCCCAAAAAATCTTTATCAGTGCACCCCTGGAGGCTTGCATAGGATTCATTCTTGGTCTCATTCAGGAGGCAATAGCCCCTGAAAAGTTTCAAGCCTACAGTCATGTTTCCCTCCATAACTCCATGTTCATCAGATGTGTGATACGTGCCCAGCACTGAGTTCTGATTGGTGGTTGGAGTCTCTAGACATTGTCATAATTCTAATATTATAAAAGCCGTAGTCTGTCTGTCTTTCCATAACGCTTTATTCTCGCTCTGATTGGCCGATGGAAACAACCAATCGGAGTGCGATTATAGTGCTCGGACAGGAG